GCTCTCTGTTTGCTGATGACAAACTCTTGGAGCCTATAAACTTGGAGCCATAAAATAGTGTTTAGATGCTAATTGTTACTTTGTGCCTCTTACAAACAGGACATACCGGCATGATTCATCATCATTCTCGTGATCTGGTGTTAAGTTATTCTCAGGTTTGTGCGAACAGAACAGTAGCACAGCTAAGACAGTGAATTCCAGTTTGACTGTCCATGTTTCATTCTGTAGCTTTCCAGTCCGTGTTTTTTGTGTCTCGGTGCCAGTGGGAGGGGTAGTGATTTGGTGTGGTGAGGGAGTGTGAACGGACACTCAGATCCAAGTGAGAGGCCTGGGTGGAGCTGTGTGTGTTTGTTGTTTCCATGTTCTCCCTTTTGATGTGTAGTGGTGTTTTGGAATGTGAGGAGGAAGCTGGTCCCTAGATCTGTAGGTCTAAGCTTCCCTTCACCGCTTCTTCTGGAAAACTTGAGAAGCTTTCAGAAACAAAACAGCAGCAAAGAAATGAATCCCCGTGCTTCTGGAGGAGAGGGCACGAGCTGCCTTGCCTTTCATGGAGTGAGGTCCAGGGTGTTTAGCTGGAACTCCTGCCCTCTGGAGCGCTCCTTGGAGCGCTGATAAGAGCTCTGGGCAGGGTCACGTCTCCAGCACGTGGGGTGTGTGGGTTAGGGTGGGCAGGCAGCCTGGGGGACACTCCTGCTCCTGGCTGTGAGGAGCGTGGCTGGACTGGGGATGGACAGCAAGGACAGCAGAGCTCAGGGAGCTCTCGTGTGTGTGAGGCTCTGTTATTTCCTTGCTTTGCTCCGTTCCTTGTATGTTGCTCTTTAAGACACGGATGTGTAAGGCATTGTTAGTCCAGAGCTGGTGCAGCACCAAATTACAAAAGTTGGCCGTGGAGAAGTCACATGCCCAGCAAACAGCTCTGCTGGTGATGGGCTGATAAGCCCTGGATGCAGCCGCTTTTCCAGGGCATGCAGACAGCTCTGCCTGGCAGTGGGACACTGGCATCCTATGGAACGTGCTCTGTTGTTCTGTCACAGGGCTGTCAGGACTCTTTCTCTGGCTGGTCATTAATCCTGCAGAGTGTAACAGTGATGGGAGGCTCCCCGTGTGCCTGTGGTCCCACAGCCTCTGCTGAAATCTCTGCAAGTGTATCTCTGCTCCTTACCCATCCAGTGAAGGATAAAGATCCTGAGGCAGGACATGGTCTAGTCAACACATCTCTTTTTACAGACTTACTTTAATTAGTACTCCAGCATTTCGACAGTGATCCGATGAGTGAAGATGGAATGCTTGCCAAGCATTTCCAGTTTCCATTGTTATCTCTGGAGCTGTGCGCCTGCTTGCTTGATGCACACTCAGACTTCTGCTTTCATTGATTTTTTGTTTCGGTTCTGGTGAATCTAAAGTTCCAGAAGATGTACAGAACTATGGTACAAATTTCTCTGGTGACACAGCTTCTGCTGATACTTTTTGTTTGTTTTTTTTCAGCTGTGATTAAGTTAATTCAAACTGGAACTGAATTGTAGTCAAAAGGCCTCTGTGTAGCCTGCTGAAATGCTTCTGGTAGAATGAACAGACATCTTTCCTTCCTCATGCATTGAGTGAGAAATACAGCTGGTAACTCTGAGAGGTTGGTGAGATGTTGGGAAAGTTTTGTGTGTTCCACAAACACTGCAAACTGTTCAGGCAGTGTCTGTGTGATCCCTGTCCATCAGTTGCAATTTTGAGTATTTGATTGAATCACTGTATCCTTTTCAACACAACTTATTTGCCACCCTTCACACCACACAGTGAATTGCCCGGTTACTTGTTCTAGTTGCTGTCTCAGAGATGCATAAATTGCTTGAGAACAGACACAGCTCTGCAAAACCCTAACCAGGCAGGTTGCTTCAGAGCCAGCCAGGTGCTTTAGAAAGGAGGCTTCTTATTCCCTGCAGTTTTATTGGAGTGTTGTTCCTTCCACATCAAATTTGGCATCTGAGCTGTGCTTTCCCTCTCCCTCCCTGCTCGTGAGCAGTAGAGGGTTCAGAGGAACCGCTGCAGCACCGTTATCTCCTGGTAAGCTGTTGTGTCTTTCCATGGTGGACATCCTTAGTTTTTCAGAAGTGAGCTGGAGATCCTCCTTTGGAGCTCTTCCCTTTCTTTAATCAGTTGTTTGCTCTTTCGGGGACACTTAACACTTCATTTCAAAAGGCTTCAGTAGGTGTTGGTGGAAAGTAGTGTAAGCAACTCTGGAACGAATGGCTTGGATTTCCTCCCGCTGTTGGAACTGTGCTTGCAATCTCCAGTTGTTGCTGTAGGAGATGGATTCTGTACATTCCTCCTGGACATCTCCTGTTTTACTTACTGTGTGTTGGGATATTGTGGTAACCAGAAGCTTCATTTTAAAATACATTTGAACATTAAACTTGTGTTTCAGGGTGGTACAAGAGAATAGGAGGGATTTGTCTCGTTTTTCCCCAGCTTGTTTCATATTTGGTGAGATGGTCAAGAGAAATCTTGGTGTGATTGTTTTGTATCTTCAGATGCCTCAATTATTAGTGATCATCTACTTCTTGTGTTGGAATGTTTGCAGCTCTAGCAGATATCCTTGGGTTTTGGTACAGGACTGAATTAGGAATGCGTAAACCATCTCCAGAGGATATGTGAGCTTACGGAATAGGAAAAGGGGAAGGAGGGGAGATGGAGAAGGTGAATGAAACACAGCTAAGGAGACTGGACAAGGTAACCTAGTCAGGTAGTCAAACTTGCAGAAGATTCCCAAAGCTGGTGCCTACAGAAGTAAATAATATCTGTCTCTTCTCTGTGGTGTTTATTTTTCCTTGAAGACCTAAAGATGGAGGATGCCCCAGTACTGCTTTTGCAGGGAACCTTCCCAGTTATTTTTCTGAGTGTGTAGGGGACTGTAGAGAGCAGAGGTGCTGGGAGAGAGTGGTATCTTGTGTTTTAACACCAGCCTTTGATTTCACTACAGCTGTAGCTGCCTCTGCTGGCAGCTGCATTAGGGTACTGCAAAGTGTGTGCAAAAAGTCACTGTCTGCATGTGGGGACAGGGACTTGGTTTGGAGTTTTGAATTAAAATAATTCTACTTGGTGGGGGGAGAGCTTTGTGTCAAGTCAGGGTAGATTATTGTTCCTTTTAATGCTTTTGAAATATGAAATAGTTTTCCTGTGGCTGGTTGGTTGGTTTAAGAATAATGACAAATGATTCAGTTTTGCTGCAAGAAACTTAACTTGAAGAGAGGGCAGGATTGGATGTTTGCTGAAAGGGTGGAATGCTTAGGGTTGGAATGACAGGCAGCTGCAGCTTTCCTCTGATCCTGTTTGGCAGAAAGGGATGATGCTGATCATTAATTGCTGTCTCGTTGAGACAATCTTCTTAAGGTGCTTTTTCTGATAATGTCATTTTGCCTAAGTCCAAAAACCTGCATGTCCTGCTTTTTCTTCTGTTGTTTTTCTATGTGGAGTTGCCTGAATCTGTTTTGTCCTACTGAAATGTGTGTAAGTCTTGCCCCCCAAACTTCCCGGTCGTTCCGGAGAAATTCCAGGGCCCTGACTATAAAGCAAATTTTGTTCTGTTTTCTGTTCAGTTGTGTTTGATTGTGTTTTTTTTTTTTTTTTTCCCCTTAATGCCTATGAATCTCTTGATTTCAAGGAAATATAGAACAGGCTGCTGATTCCTGTATTAAAGGGTCTTTAGGTAGGGAAAGGCACTGAAAAACTGGTTGCTGTTCCTTGGGGTTATAAATAGAATAGTTTATTAACAATGGTCTTCTCTGAATATTATTATTGACATTACCAAAAAAGGTAAAATGCAACTGGTATTTATTGAATTTTATTTTAACTAGTGGAAAAGGCATAGTTTTTGTACGACTTGAACTTAAATATTTTTGTATTCTTGAGGAGAGTCTTTTATTTACATTCCCAACCTGTGATAGTTCTTACTTCTGATGGATTTGGGAATGATGTAATATGGGGGGGGGGAGTTTGAATCTGCTTTTGTAGAATTTTCTGCCTCTTCCATTTGGCTTTTCTTAGAGGGTTTTTTTGTGTTATTTCTCTTTTTTTCCTATTTCAAAGGGCATTTGTCTGACCTGCCTTCTCCAGCATTGTGTTCTTTAGGGTGTGTACATATCTAAACACTGTCTATCTCTGAGTATTGTTTAGCAAAACCCTCACACCTGCACACCCTTTACCTACGTAGACAAAAGGACAGGAAGGCAGCTTAAAGACTAAAGATAATATATTTGCTCCATCTTTCTTAGTTGTAATTGCTTTTGATTTTTAAAAATCATTTATTTACTTACTTATTGTAGACAAGTAGAGGAGCCTCTGCCCAAATTTACTGAAGCAAGCAGCTATGAAATCCAGTTGAAAAAGCCAAGTATGTGATCAGGGTGTGTCATCAGTGGAAGAGAAAGGAAGAGATGTCTGCCTTGGTGTAAACAACAATTAAGATTTCAGGAACAGGAGGCAATCACTGGTTTGAGTTGGAATTTGGGCCCCTTTGTGACACCTGTGTGAACCTGCACATTTCCTTGTGTTAACCTGGGTTAATTGATTCTTCAATACTTGGCTAAGGTCACTGGGGAAAAAAAAGACAGTTTGGTATTTGTTTTTCTTTGGTTCTTTGGTTGAACTGGTACAGCTGGGCCTGAAGGTGTCATAATTGATTGGACTAACTCTACTTGAGTACAATCTACAAAGCTTTTACTGTTAAAGAAGAATTAAGGGTTGGAAACACTTCCAGTTTTGTGGATTAGCTGTGAAGCTTTTCTGGACACCTCCCCCACGAAAAAAAGTCAACAGCTTGAGTCAACATCTCTATAGAATTTTAATTCCATATCAGGGTTTCAATTCCATGTTGTACCAGAGTAGGTAAATTTACTTTTTCCTGAGCTTTACCAGGTTTGTGCACTGAAGGCTCTGAATGCAGGGCAGTTTAGTGTCTGCACTGGGGAGCAGGGCTGAGTGTGGGGAGGAGAGGGAGCAGAAAGGCACAATTAAAACTTCTCTTATCATACAAGTGCTTTAAGTTCAGTAGATGCAGATGGGAAAACAGCACCTGTGTGGATGGAGGTGGGAGACACAAACACTGCCAGTGCTGTGGTCTCACACTCTAGTGCCATATGAGAGTGGTCATTTAACTGCAGCAACACCACCTCTCCCCTCCTCCCAGAATGCTTTTTCCAGAGGTGGTGTCTTATTTTGCTGGTAATAAGTGTTGGAGCAGACCTGTCTTCTGGTGACCTTTGGAAATTCACTCTCTGCTTTAGGCCTATTTTTTCTTTTTTTTGAGAATTCTGAGGGCTTTATCCAAGGAAAATGCAAACCAAATCCCAGTCAAGCTCAGGAGTGGGTTGGTCTTGATTAAAAACCCTCTTGTTTTCTTCTGGATTCTGTTCAAGCTCGAACTTGAATGAGTCTTGTGCAGTTGATGAGATCAAGCCATTATCTAAAAAGCAGGTTTTTTGTCTGTTAAGAGTGTTTGGTAAATGCAGTGATGGTGGAGTTTCTGTGCCTTTTCTGTGCTGCTGCTGTCTCTGCCCTGGGTCCCAGCAGCCGTGGGTTGGTTGCCTTGGATAAAGTAGGCTGACCCAAAGCTGTGTGGGAGTGCTCAGTCTAAGAGCCTATTTTATTCCCTCCTTTGGTTCTTTTCTCCTTCCCAGCCCTTCAGTGGCTGTTTTCTTTGTCTCACTTATTTTCCTGTAACGTGCAATAACCATTTTGTGACCTCCCTAAACTGTCCTTCCTGGTCTGGTTTTGCTCGGGAAGGATCAGTCACTGGATTCCATGGAACACTTGCCCAAGGTTTGCTTAGGGGTCTTCTAGCTGAGGTGTTCCAGATGCTTGGGAATTATTAACTTATTCTAACCCTCCATTTTATTACTTATCTTCATTCTAATCCCTCTTACCGTTTTGACTCTGTTTCCTCCCCTCCCTATTAATATTTTCCTGGAATGCCTGGTTTCCCCAACACAACATCAGGTGACTCGGCAGCCTCATGCTGGGAAGTGTTGCTGATAGGGGCAGGTTTAGGGCAGCTCAAAGGAAGGAAGCTTAGTGTGTGTTGTGTTCTGCTTGGCACCACTCACCTGTTTGACAGGGGGGTGTTTGACGTGCTGTTAAATGTTAAGGACTTGTTTTTCTCCGTGTGTTTCACAGCGAGGACGTCACAGTGTCGATGGACTCAGGGCCAGGGATCAATGGGTTTATTCAGCCTGTTCTCCCTCTGGTGTGTGTTTCCACCTCGTGGCAGTGGGTGTATCACTTGATACCAGTGCAGGTTCTCTGATTAGCTGCCTTGGCTGAAGGGCAGACGTTTCCTTCTCGCTCTTGGCGAGCGCAGTCATTAAATTCTCTTGGAATTGGTACCATCTGCGTATTGCAAAGCTGTAAAGTGAAACCTGAGGTAGTGCTTAACTCTCATGGGAGTCGAGATCATAACCAAGCAGGGGGAAAAAAAAAAACCAAACCTGGAATGAGCACCTGAAGTCTGATGCAAGCTGTGAGCTGTGTGCTAAAGGAAACCAGTATCGGGGGGGGTTTGCTCTCAAATAATGGTTTGCCATGTTGAATGATGTCAAGCCAGGTGCTACGCCAGAAATTCGTTATTCATGTAAAGAAATCAAAACATTGTTATTCAAGGACTCCTATGCTAAATAAAAGAGTATTGTTCTGATTTCTGAATGCTTCTTTGCACTGTGTGTGAGCAGTTGCTAAACTTCCTCCACATGGGCAGGAAGCGTAGCTTTCCTCGCTTTGTTTTGTGTGGTCTTATCCACCTTCTGCAGAACAAAACAGGGTTGGAAAACAACAGTTGTGTACAATCCTGCCATGTGCACTTCATTCAAAAGCTGCAAAATTTTCTAGCACTTAGTTTGTTTCCAGCTCTCACATCCCTCCACATGGCACAGCACCCTGGATGAGGAGACCTTTAAAAATGTCTCGTGTTGAGTATCATGAAGGTAAGCTTTGGCTGAAGTGCCTGGGCAGCGTGGTGGGCATGTTTTTCCTGAGTTTTATCAGCTCTCAGAAGGAGGAACCCTCCTCTGTGTCCCTGTCTTTTCTGAGATATGACACCTCTTTGTCCATTTTCCTCCTTCCCAGAAATTGCATTTTCTGAATAGAACACCACAGTTTTCTGTTCAACTCCCTCAAGCTAGAGTCGGAATTGAAGGGGCTGTGGAATGTAGATTTAGAATAAAAGTTGTCAGAATAATTTTTTTTTTAGTTGACATGTAGTGCATGCAGCTCCAGTGTGCTACTGCAGGGATAGCTTAATACCAGCACAACAGTTCCACAGTTCATGTGGAGTGCCACTGAAACAGCCATTAATTAGTATTTGCCTGTCACTGTGTTCAGTTTGGCTCCCTCCCTTTGACTGAAATGTAGATAGAATGTACTTTCTGTGGCTCATTGCTGTGCACAGCCATCAATCCCCAGTGATTAGGTGGTGGTGAATAATTACAGTGGTGGCAGGAGGTCTGGAACCCTCCGAGCCGTGTTTGGTAAGTTCTTGGTAGCTCTTGAGTGTCATCAAAGGACAACGAATTGAACAACCAGTTTTGACTGTATAAAGAAATTAATTCAGGGCCTTTACAAGCACTGTTTTTTCTAGAAATAAATTTGCCCTCTTATCTTCATCTCCTTTGGCAGTTGGTTGGTGATGTTTTTAATTGGTTGCAAAAAATAGTACAGTAAGAATCGTAGGGAAAGATTTATTACCAGTCTTGGAGAGTGTTCTCCCCCATGTTTATGACTGCAAGCTTGAGACTTTTATATGGACAACTGTAAAAGGACTGTGGGATTTCTTGTCCTGTTTGTATATCGTGTGCCTTTTCAAACAACAGGGTGTAGTAAACAGGCAGGTGACTTTGTGATGTAAAATTGGAGGTAGTGCTTGCAAAAATACTGGCGAGCCTTTAGATGCCAGAATTTAGGAGACTGTGTGGAGTGAGGGAGATGATGGGTGTGGGAAGAGGGGTGGAGTTCCTTTTGGGACTTAAAAAGTTCCTTCCTGAAGTGTCTTGTTTTCTGCCAGTGGATCTTGCAGATGTTGAACACAGGTTGGTAATCAGCTAGATGGGAATCTTGTGCAGTGGCAGAAGGAGATGTCAGGGTGGTGCTCTGCCTCCAGACAAAGGCAGTTAATGTGTGCTGGTTAGAATAATAATGGAGTAATAACAAATGACGTGAACCTGCTTATTTAAAAAAGAAGAAGCTGATGTTTCCCAGGCTTTATGTTTGGACAGGCTAATTCCTTATATTTTTGTACAGAAGCTTTTTTTAAACCCACGTGAGCTGAGGTGGTAACAGCAGAAGGAAAACACACATCTTTACGTAATTCTAAACATTATTACCAGCAGTTGAGCTTGTTTTTATACAAATTCTCCTGTTTCTTTCACTGCCACCATCTCTTACACAGATTTTGGTGCTAATGTAGCAAGAGATGGAAATCTGACTGAAAACCTCAGTGATGCAAACGAGGCTGTTCCCTCAAGGGGAATATCAAGACTATGGGTTTGTCCCAGTTGTGCTTCACTCGTGAAAACTCTCCAGTTCAGGAGGCCTACATTGTATGACAGTGAGGTCATAAAATAAGGCCACTATCAAACATCAAGCTGTAAAGGAATAAATGTAAGCTTTTATCCTGGTTTCATAATGCTACTGCCTAATCCAAAGTACCTGGATTGGTGCCCAGTCATATTTTGGCCCAGCTACCAAGGATTACTTTGGTTTTTGGATTTCACTAAGGAAGATTAAATTAATAGCTGTAGTAACTGCTTTGGAGAAGAGAAATCCTTGCAGGTAACGTTTTGGGAACTAAGACCAGCGCTGTTTTTCCCCAGGATACACGAGAACAGGATCTGTGTGTGTTCACATCCTTGTGGTTCTGTGATGCAGGGACTTCTTTGAGTGCTTTCACAGCCCCTCCCACAGCTTCTTCTCTGCTTATTGGCAATGATTAACTTCCTCCTGCTTTCACCAAACAGGTGTTTGGTGATAGGGTGCTCAAGAAGTGGTTGTCTTTCTTGGTGGGACCGTAAAGCTTCAGGCTGGAGTCTGAAAAGGCCGTGGCCTAGGATAGTGCTCCTCTGGGAAACTCCTGGTTACAGCCCCTGTGGATGTGTTTTCAGAGACACCAGTTTTGGTATCCTTGTTGCAAGTGTTTGTTTTGAACTTTCCATGACAATTGGGAACATCGCAGTAGCCCGGGTATGGTCCTGGAGCCCCGCAGGACATTGTTTGTTATCTGTGCTGTGCTCTCATGTGAGAGTCGCCCTTGAATTCTTTATCTGAGAGTAAGAGCAGTCGTGTTTGTTCTGATGGGTTGGGTTTTTTTAGTCTTTTGTCACTAAGTGGGTACTGAACATATGCAGGATTAAAAAAAAAAAAAAAGGTAGAGAGAATTCTCCCTTTGAATTCACTATTTTTCTAGCTGGTCTTACTTCAAAAGCTGTGAAACCTTTTAATGTTCCATGTGTTACATTTGCCTACACCCATGCACTGTTTCTTTTTGTTTTCTCCTTGCAGCCTGCATTTTTCATCTGTTTGTGTGTCTGGGCCTATTATCCAGCTAACTAAATACTCTGATGGTGGTGGTGCCTTGATGGAAGTGATGTTAAGCACCTCTGTAAGCCCTTCCACTGCTTGTGGAGAATGAAATTTAGTTGATCTGATTCTCCAAGAATTTAAGGAGTAGTGACAACCTCCTGAGAGATCTGTTCTCTTCTGGGTTTGGGCCATTTCCATGCATACAGATGAGCACGGAACATCTTTGGTGTTCAATCTGTAAATATATAAAAAAAATCTAGGGCATTTAAGTTAACTGAAAAAAAAAAAACAAACCCTCGTGGCGACAACCACCCACAATATTTCCAAGTAAAGAATCACTCAAGTGAATCAGAAATTCAATATCATGAAAATGTGGGCCAGTATTTTGGGTGGTGGTAATTCTGAAGCATCTGTGACATCCGATGGGTTAACTTGGTGCTGTGGCAGTGTGTTTGTGTAACTGTGTGTTGGATTGCACAAAAGAGTGGATCCAGCTGAAAACTTGCCCCAAGAAAGGGTAAGAAGTGTTTTGGAGTTTTTTGTGGGTTTTTTTTCGGGTTTGGGGTGTGTTTTTTTGGTTGGGTTTTGTTTTGCTCTGATCACCTAAAAGCCCTGGTGGGGAGCAGCGTGGGGTGACCGGGGTGAGCACACCTATAATTCTGTGAAGGTTTGTTTGAACTTTGCTCTTTACTTTTGACACCTTTAGACAAGCAGCAGGTTCTCCTTTTGCCATGTATAATTTTGGTCATTTTCTCCTACTGCACCTCTTCAGAAATGACTTGGTAATGAACTAATACCTAGTGAGTCCCATGAGAGCAATGATTGGAACCTTGTTGGCTGGGAACTGATTAACAGATAAATATCTACGCCAGCCTTGAGAGACAGAATCATGTTTCTGAATGGATGAGAAGTGATAATCACATCACTCCATCACTGATCCACTTGCTTATGAATAATTAAAGCAGGAGATCAAGCAGTTGAAACAGTGTACAACAACACCCTGCACACAGAGCTACAGGCTCAGCAGGGCTCTGTTACCACATAGCCCTACCTAATAAGCCTGCAGGTTACTTAATGCCACATCAACATTTGATTTTGATACAAAAAGTCCTTTTACTAAGTTTAATGGTTAAATTTCAGCAAGATTTTTTTTACTTCACGTGGCTTCTGTGATGGAAGACACTCAATAGGCTTTTAAGGAGAAAGGCCTAATTATGAAGTATTTTAATCTGAACTATTAAAAAATAAAGGCTGAAGATGTTTTTAGAATTCGTGTACTTTGAAAATATGAAGGTTTTTGAATTGTTAAAAACTGATAAAAATTGTAAAAATGACAACGATCAGTGAACTTTCTGTGGTTTTAAGGTAAAAGATTTGGAAACCTGCTGCATTTATGCCTGTGTTAGGTGTTTACTCTGTGGAAGTGTAGCAGTAACTGGTTTAATGTTTGTAAGTACAACTGTGTAGCTGCTGCTGGTGGAAAGTGTCCCTGTGAGATCTGTGATGCTGTGCTGACACTGGGAGTGCAGTGGGTCTTGTTTCCCTTTGTGCCCCACGACCTTTGATGCACAAATGCCAGGGGGGTGGTGGTGTCAATACTGTGCATTCCCAGGTTTCCAGAGCAGTGCTGTGAGCTGGGGGAGCATTTCCCTGGTGCCCACTTGGTAGCTGGAAATGCAGCGGCAGCCTCGTTGACCCGCTGGCAGAGCTGGCAGCAGATGCTGCTGTGCTTGATTTCAGTCGGTGTATTTGATTTCAAGCTGAGTGCAATAACCATCTAAAATGCCCACCTTGCTTTTCTTTTCTTTCTTTTTTTTTTCCCCCCCTTAATTTCTCAGGAGGGGTAGGGTGGGGGATCAGACAGTTGTGCTGTTCACAAACGATGAAATGCTAACGAAACCCTACTCTCTGCTATCTCCCTCCAGCGCTGTGTGGTGCTGCGGTTCCTCAAGTCTCCCCCCAACCAGACCAAGGTAAGAGTCGACGTTTCCCTTTGCTAAAAGCCCTCAGGTAAACTAATAGCCAGTGTGAGGGGAAACAAGAAACCCCTGAAGGAGCTGTGACTGGCAGGAGTAAGAATAAGGGGATGTTTTGAAATGTGTTTCAGGGGGGTTGGCGACAGGAGGAAATCTGAGGTCGCTTTACGTAAGTGAGATGGTGTGAGTGCTGATACCAAGACCTGTGTGTGGGGCAGGGTGTGGGACTGCCCTGTGTTAGAGGGGACAGGTTTCTGTGGCACAGGGACAGCAGGAATGTTCCATATCCACGGACAGGAGTGCAGGGATGCTGAGGAAGGAGTGAGTTTTACTGGTTGTTCTTAACTGGGGCAGAACAGGAACAGCTCAGGGCTGGTGTCGTGGTACAGGTCTGGCTGAGCACCCATTCAGTAGCTAAAAAGCCATGGAATTTGAACAAACACATGAAATATTCACAGAATAACCTTTGTCAGTGAGTGATTTTAGTCCTGTGTGTTGTAAAGAACAGGACACAGTCTTCCAGTTTCATGGATGGCAGAACAAGGTTTTTCTGCTCGAGAAGCAACTGAAGTGAGTTTTACTTCAGATTTCTTTTAACAAGGATAAAAAATGATCCATAAGAAAAGGTAGAGGGTAAACACAGTGTTCCAAGGGAAAAAAAAATAAAAAAAGAGAGCACAAGGTTCAAATTCTTTCATTTCCTCACCCTCAAGACAAGTCTTTAGGGTGTGTTACCTGAGAGATAAGGGGAATGGCTGCAGTTACAGCAGCTCCTGAATGTGGCTTTGTGAGGTTCAGTGCCACTGGTGGGTTCTTCTGGTGAGACAAATACAAAAAGCATTGAGGCTCTGCTGAGAGCTGGGGGGTGTGTGCGTAGTTTCAGGAAAAAAGAAACAAGGATGAAGGTAAAGACAACATAGAAAGGGCATTTTGTTGCTTTAAATCAGGAAGATGAATGTGAAAAACATTCAGTTTAACAAGGGGCAAAGAAGTTTCTCAAGTAAGGCAAGACCCCATAAACAGTGTATGTGTGAGTTATTTGATGGCCTTTCTGCTACTATTTGACTTGAAAAAAAAGTCTGGTAAAACTAAAGTGTGATTGAAGTTGTTTTCTGAGCTGCTTGGGGTGGCATGGTTTCAAAAATGTATCTTGTGCTTCTGTAGTAGCCCAAGATAATAATGTTTAGAGTGCTAACAAGAACAGGGAAGAGCCCAGTGGATTGCAAAGGAAACAGTGCTTATCTCAATTTTTAATACAGCAAAGGAGAACTAGACCACAACTTTAATTATAAAGTCAGTCTTGCAGTTTATTTAAGAGGACAAAACACTAAGTACCAGCTTTTTTTCCTCCTTTTTTTTTTTAAATTTTTAAGTTGGAAGAGATTGTTACATAGTAATTGTTTTTTAAAAACTGGCAGAGTGTGACAAAGTCACAAAGGCAGCCAGGAAATGACTTTTCAGTTCCACACCACAGCAGGGAGGTTGATAATGCTGCTGTGGAGTACTTTGGCATTGCATGTAGTTTTATGGACATGAGGAAAAAAGGCCTGTGTCCAGCTCCAGCATTCTGCATTTGGCTTGGGTTGGGATTGTGATACACAGTTTCCTCTAAATAGATGACTTTGTAATTTGAATATGTTTACTTATCTTGGTGATGTTTTTTTAGGGATAATCTGTATTCCTGACTAGTGCAAGATGAGTTAATCAACTTTCTTCACATCGGAGTAGTGCCCTTGAGAAAGTTCTGAGGCATTTTAGTGTGTTTGGTTCTGAGACTCGAGCTTAATTCCAGTGTGGGGATTAAGTGGTGGGTTTTTTTGTGTTACAAAAGCACAGAGAAGCTCGTCTGTTGTGACACTAAAATATTGTGCACAGAACCAGAGTGTGCTGGAGTGCTGGCAGTGGGTAACACTGCTGTAAGGATGCTTTGCTCCCTCTGCAATGAGCAGGAGCTGTCAGAGTCCAACTGCACTGATGTCCCTGTCCTGCTTCCAATACTCACGGAAATTCTTTTATACCTTTTGGCATTTTTGTCTTGTAGAAGAACTTGGGGTTTCCTTATAGACACATAACATAAAATTAAGAGAGGATGACATTACTGTAAGATTTTTCATTGTCTGGGGCAGGATTTGGGACAGATGGCAAGTTCTGTGCCCGTCCATCACCTGTTTGTGATGTCTCAGTCTCTCCAACCATTCCCTTCCCAATCTCCAGGAGATATTTGGTAACACTCCAAGCCTCTCCTGCACTCCAGCTGTTGGCAGGAGGACCTGCTGGGCACTACTCTTTGGACTACTGGAATTCTTTGAGTTGTTTTAAGAATAATGGCCAAAGACAGAGTAGATCTTGAGTAACCTCCCCCTCTTCCACCTTTGTCATTTTCTCTCTTTTTTTCCCCCCTGAAGCTTAAGAACCATCACCTCTCTGGCTGTTTTTCAGTTTGTCCCAGCCCCTGAGGCAGAAACACACGTAGTTTGATGTGCCTGTTTAATTTCAGTGTGCCCTGACCTACCGAGCTCAGCAATTAGGCTGTTTGCTGAATCACTGACAAGCATGTGTATGTGTTCTGGAGTGTTGTTTATCATTATCTCGCAGCTAAATTACCACGTTTCTGTCTTCCAGACTTCAGAGGAAATACTACACCATCTGCAAAACATCGTGGACTTTGGAAAACATGTGATGAAGCAGTTCTTTGGGGAGAACTACGTTCACCACGGGGTAAATGTTTTATTCTTAAAATAAATGGCTTTATGCACTGTAAACACTGGAGTGTTTGGGGGAGCTCTGAATACACACACACAAGGAGCATTTGGATGAGAACAAAGATCCTGCTCTGTGCTGATGAGGGGCTTGGATTGTCTCCATGGTTTGGCTGTTTCAGGCTACTAATGAAAGAGGGGTCCTCTCTTTGCTCCACATGAGGCAAGAGGGGGGTTTGTAAGAGGGATTTTTAGCCTTAACTGTAAAAAAAGGGATGAAACCTGGTTCATATGAATGGTTGAGGTTTCTGTGCAGTCACAGATCTCCTTCACTGAACATCAGATACCTGGGTGGAAAAGCTTCACCTGGAACTTGAGTTACACAGTCCTGCCTTGGAAGGGTGGGAGGATGGAAAGGGACTTTGTCATTTGTGAAGAGGATAAAATGGTGCAGGTTCCTTAGTGCACATTAAACTTGCACTGAAAATGCTCTTTTTCATGCATTTATTTAAATCAGTTCTTTGTTTTTATGGTGGAACAGGTGTTCCCTGTGATTGCAGGTACAGATCTGCACAGTTCATCAGAGGGAGAAGCTGCTGATTTGTATAGTTCAGTGTACTGTTGTTAACACCCACTGAACTTCGCAATTCCATTTTAAGACCCCCCCAAAATTGAACATTAATTCTTGTGTTAAAATAATTTTTTTCCTTTATTTTAATAGGAAATTATTCAACTGCCTTTAGACTTTGTAAGACAGCTGTGTTTGAAAATCCAGCCAGAGAGGCCAGGTAAGTGCATTAAAATGGGGGCTTCCTCAAGCTTCCCTTTGTTCTAAAGTAAAAAAGCATTATGCCTCAGAATATAAAGAGACTTTATGTAATATTTAGACAATGCTAAGTTGGAAATTTGTGGTGGAAAAAATGGAACTGGATGTGTTTTGGAATTCACGGTTGCAGCTGTGCTTTTCTAGTCCCCTGGACGCGGGGGATTGATGGGGACGGTGTGTGAGGGGAGGGTGACCTTGTGAAACCTTTGGGAATGTGCTGCAACACAGGAAGTTTGGCAACCTGTGACGTGTTTGGTGTGAAGGGAAGTGCTACAGAACGTGGTGTCACCTCTCACAGCTGGCAGCACCTGGTGCATGTTCTTCACGTGTGGCTGAGCTCCAAACCGGGCAAAGGAAAGGGCCCTCGTGGTGTATTCATCTTATGTCTTTGAGAATGGCCAGGAACTCCTGCTTTAGCAAAGTTCTTTGAAGAAAAGTGTGGCATTAAATCAAAGTACTGTAGTGATTGTTTTGTTGCCTTTGATCCAGGAAAAAAACTGAATTAATTTACATATAGTGAACACAGGACACTCTCCATTGTTGATTTGTCCTCACCTGTTTGAGAAGCAGTTCCAACAGTGCCAGAAACCAGCAAGGAGAGTAAATAGTTTCAAGTAAATACTATCTCATAAAACTTAAAAAATCAATGATACTCTGGTAGAAATGAATGATAGAATTAAGTTTTATTTCTTGAAATTAAACTTTGTGTGTCCACAGCTGATGAGGATTGAAATGTGGTTGTGAGGAGGTGTCCGAATGCTTTACAACAGCAAATCCCACTGTCCATTTTTAACAGGAATCTTTTAAACCTTGAGGAAAGAATTTCCTTCAATTTTACCTTTCACATAAGCCTGTCGAACTTAGGAAGGAGATTCTCTAATAATTTGTATTTCTGGGTCTGTCTGATTGGACAGCTGGGAAGGTGGATGTACTTCTGCTTAAGTTTAGAAATCAAACCCCAGTGTTTTGTTGGAGACAGGAGGTTTCTTGCTCATCCCAGTGAAGTGCACCAAGGCACTGCAGGCTGGTGCCTGATGAGGCTTCAGCTTCTGGGATTTATTTTTTCTATTGCAGTGTATTTTTTCACAATGGGCATTTTTCTTAGCAGTGGAAACTCTAACAGAACACACTGTGTTCTGTGTCTCTCTGTAGTAACAGAGGATTTGAAAATCGAGGGGTCTGTGTTCTTCTTAACTTGTAACTAAAATCTCACAGATTTTGTGAGACACATCTTCTGTGTCCCAAAGGACACACGTGGAGAGAGGGTATTTAAAGGCTTTTTTAAAATAATGCCTCCTAAGTTTGATATTCCTGGCAGTTTTCACAGACTCCTCTTGACCCAGCTGACAAATGGTAGGCCGTGCAGCTTTAGTAAGCAAACATGAGATCACATCTTTGAATAAATACACTAATAAGTCACTTCACCTGTTGTTGGCCAATGCGTTTCCTTGCTGTGTCAGGCCTCACCTTTCTTGGGAGGAGCTGGGAGCTGGCCATTAACAGCAGCCTTTGTGGCACTCCATGTGCCTGGGACAGTTTTGAGGAAACTGAATCTGGGCGTTGGGAACGGGGAGGGCAGATTTGTGCAAGTGAATAATTGGCTAAAGCCTCCCAAACTGTGCATCCTGTGCTTCCAGGTCCGTTCCCACACCCCAGGGATGGCTGCAGGGCAAACAGACATGCACACAGCTGATCCTCATGTTTGTGTTGGCTTTCCTTTGCTTCCCCAGAGTGTCGCTGTGACAAGGACATGGACACGCTGAGTGGGTTCGCGATGTGCCTTCCCAACCTCACGAGGCCGCAGAGCTACCGCCTGGCCGAGCACCGGCCCCTGCTCTGCATCGAGATCAAGGTGTGGGGGGAGGCTCCTCTGGGGGCCTGTTGGCCTTTTTTAATACTCACTGACCAGAGCAGTTCAAGGAATGCAGCAGTGGGATGAGGCTCACTTTTCACTGTAACCCCTCTACTAATTCCTGATCTTTCAAAACTTGGGAAATTCCCGGGTGTTACTGGGCTTTTCTGTAGGCCACAGCAGTTTTATGGCCTTATTTATTAAAATAATTTAGTCCTCTGAAATAATTGGGAGTAGCATTCAGCTTTTTAAGTGCTAGACTTTTTTTTAAATTATTTTTGAAAATTTTCCTTTAACTGGAAAGATTTGCATCTTGTGTGTGCTTCTGTTTCTATGGAGAGATACATTTATATTTACAGTCTTTTTTTGTTTGTTTGTTTTAGCCAAAGTGTGGCTTCATTCCTTTCTCCAGCCATGTTTCACAGGAGATAAAGCACAAGGTGTGTCGTTACTGTATGCATCAGCATCTAAAGGTAATTATTAAGTCATCCTGCTTCCCCTTGGCTGGACTGTGCTTTATTTGCTGATCCAGGCTTGGGTTCCTGTTAAAACTTGCTCAAATCCCCTGATATGACTAAAGCTGGTAGGTGGATACACAGCTTGAGTTGCTGGGTGTGAATTTGTTTAGTGAGAGATGGAACAAGTTCTGTGGGAAGCTGGAAGCAAACAAACACAATATCACTCTTTGGGGACTGTGAACGCTGGGGTTGGGTAAAACTCTGCTGTGGAACTTCCTTTTGGGATCAGCTCACCCAGTGCACTCTGTGACTTACAACAAACAGCCTGTCACAGGCACAGGGTTCACTGGGCTCGTGTCCACTGGGAGTCTGGAATGGGGTGACTGGGCCTGCCTGATTTAATGGGACCTTCCTCCCTCTGTGAGTGCACTTTGAGGGACTGGAAAAATGACCAGGAAACACCCACAGTGGTCATGAATTTTGTGTTCAAAGAGGTTTAAATGCCGTGGGACCTCTGAAGGCAGGATGTCAGTGCACACACCTGACTGTTAAAATGAGAGGGCAGTTATTCCAGGGACGGGGGGTAACAGCAGTGCTCTGGTTTTCCACAGGTAGCAAACGGGAAATGGAAGCGACCCAGTAAATACTGCCCGTTGGATCTCTTCTCAGGGTAAGGATTCTGTGTTTCTCCCAAAAGGAATCTGTAACACAGGGGGTTTTTTTTGGCAGATTTTCTCAGATTCCTTTGCCTTTTGCTGAGTTATTAAGGACAATCCATGCCTGCTTGTCTGACCTTTACGGTGAATATTTCTGGTGCTGTCTATTTACACCTGTCTCAGGAATCAGAGCTGCTTATTAATGTGCCAGTGCCTTTTGTTGTGCCAGTGCATAATATTGCAGCCAAGAGCTGTTTCTTTACTCAGGTTTGAAACTCACTTTGCCTTTGCAGTGACCTCAGCTCATGCCAGGTGTGAACATCCAAAGGCTGGGATAAAACATTCTTGGCTTTATTTTTTGTTTTCCCTAGAAACAAACAGAGAATGCACTTTGCTTTGAAGAGCTTATTACAGGAGGCACAGAACAACTTGAAAATATTTAAGGTAAACAGTTAAATCTCCACTTGCTTTTTTTTGGCCTTGGCTTTTAAACAATTTGCCTTCAGCGTGTAAACAGTCAAACCTGCCCAATCAGCACCCTCATTTTTGGACCCCACCAAAAGAAGGAAACGGGAAAATTCTGAATTAGATTTCAGGTTAGGACAGATAAGTAATAATTTCCCAGAATTCATAGACTCATGGAATGTCCTGAGCTGGAGAGACCCACAAGGATCATCCGAGTCCCACTCCTGGCCCCGTACAGGACACAGCCCAGCAATCCCACTGAGGCCTGAGAGCCTTGTCCCAATGTTCCTCGAGCTCTGGCAGCCTTGGTGCTGTGACCACTGCCCTGGGGAATTAAATTAGTCTAAAACAATTGCTGAGAAAAACTAAGAGAAAAGGACTTTTTTTAAGGCTGATCAAAGTTTTAAAAATTCAGGAGGAAGAAGAAGATGGAGAACTTTGCATGTTGCTGCAAATATTTTGTTTTTAAATTCCTGTTGGAACGCTGATGCAGGCCAAATGCACGCTGGGGAAGGAAAAAGTTCCCTTTTCCATGGCATTAATGTAGAAAAAATATAAAGCAGTAACTGATGGCTTATGGAGATTTTCAGATTAATTCTAGGAAACAAGACTCTTTGCAATTTATTTCCAGTATTAAATCAACTACTTGAATTACTTCTATGAACTGTCCTATTTTTTCTATTAGCACAGGTAACTATCACACCTTTTCTGTCCCCTTTCACAGCCTTCCCTTTGCCAGTCTGAATGGTAAAAGAAGGTTGTTTCACACAGTGCTTTTTCACTCCTGACATTATTCAGAAAGGAGTGATAGGAAACTGTGCCAAGTATCAGATCACTTGTATTGCTCTGATTCCTTACAGTTATTTAAGTTGGGAAAGCAACACTTGGTTTAAATGGGGGTTTTGCTGCTCATTTAGAGGTTGCTACATGTGGGATCTGATTAAACTTAAGAGGGCAATTTGTAAGAGTCCAGGAATGTTGTATTTGTGTGGGGATTGTTAAGCTAAGAACACTGTTCTGTGATTAAAATATTAAATCCAATGCTCAGTACGAAGAACTTGATTTCATCAAGTGCCTAAAGACTCTTCATTTTTCACCCTCCCCCTTTCAGAATGGTGAACTAATTTATGGCTGTAAGGATGACCAGGACTCTGTCTCTGACTGGAACGAACTCGCTCGTCACTTAAAACCTTTCTTTTTCCCCTCCAACGGGCTGGTGAGTGGCCCCCACTGCACAAGGACAATTGTTAAAGAACTGATCCAGGTGATAACCATGACGCTACTGAGTAGCACCGACACCTGCAGGGCGGGTGACATGAAGACAGTGCCCGTCTCACAGGGACGAAGCTACTGTGAAGCAAGTGCTTTCAATAAGGAGCTGGTTAGAAATGGTAAGGAAGAACTCCTCAAGCACTGCCAGTAATGGACTGTCCATGGAATCACTGAGTGGTTTGGGTTGAAGGGACCTTTACAGGCCACCTGCTCCACCCCCTGCCATGGGCAGGGACACCTTCCACTTCCACAGTGTCTGATTTAACAATTCAGATCTTTGTCTCTTGTTTGCTTATGGGTGCTGATGTGGGAATGGAAACAGTGGGGTTGTAGTGACATTTAAAAAATGAGTTCTGAGCTGTGTAGCTGGCAGATAATTGCCCTTAATGTGACGTTGTAGTGAACACTTTTAGCACTGTGCCTAATGATGGGTTAAAATAAATCCAGGAGGTGGTGGAGGAAAAATGGAAGAAAATACCAGTGTGAGCTGATAACAATTGTGGGGATTCCAAACGAAGGGGGAATTTTTATGTTGTATGTGATGAAGCTGGGCTGCTTTGGTTGGTGTGTTACATGACACCTGTTCCTCAGCTCATGTTCTGCTGCTCTTGTGGTAAAAAGAGAGGTCTGAATACCAGAGGGGAAAGGAATGGGAAGTGAGAGCTGGAAAACTGTGACCGATGATAATCCCTCAGTGCAGAAGTTCTCTGAAGCTCTTAACTAGGCAAGATGCTGCCAGTTACTCTAATTACACAAACAACATGTTTCTCACTCTGCTTTTGAGGAAGACCTTTTTCACTGCTGGTGGTTTGTTGTAGTGTTGGAGAAGGAGCTGTCTCACAGAAATTACAGCAAGTGCAAATCTCTTTCTATTATATAACAAAAAGACAGGATAACTAAAATGCTGAATTACTTTCTGATAAAAAAAGTTGATACTGTTCAAAGTGAATTTGTGATGGCTTCAAACTCAGATGAGAAATTTCTCTTGTGGACTCAAACAAGTAGATTGCAGGATGTGGGTGTGTTTTGGTGTTTAGTTTTTGGAGTAATTTGGAGTTGTATCCCAGGTGTTTTATTCTGCAGTTTAAATGTGCACCAGGCGCTTCAGTGTTTGGTAACTGAAATGTTTCAAGGTTTCCCCCTCCCTGTGTGTGACTGGACCAAAAGCATTTGGCCTTGTGTAGTGGACAAGCACATGTTCTGGCCAATTGAAGCAAAGAACACACTCGTGTCTGCCTTATTTTAAAATCCATTTTCTTCTAGGTAAACACAAATTGGAAAGCTCTGGCTTACCGAGGGGTTGTCTCCTTTATAAAACCCTTCAGGCTCAGATGCTTGACATGCTGGATATTGAAGGACTCTATCCTTTGTACAGTAGAGTTGAACAGTACTTGGAGGAATTTCCTGAAGAGAGGTAAGACTTGATGGCTTTTCTTTTCAGTTCTGAGTAACCAGGTGTGCAGGCAACACTGGCTCTTGCCTTGTTATGTTGTACAACCTTCCTTCATGGCATTGCATGAAATTCAATTCTGAATTTCTAACTTGAACTGCCAGATAACATAAAAGATCAGTTTTATTGTTCAAAGTTTTGGTGTCAGTCACCCTGGCCTGAATTTTTAAGTAATGGTTATGGGAAGTTCACAACAGGTCGGAGAGAAAAATTTCCCTTTTCCTGAGTAGTGGAGGTTGTGTATTTGCAGAAGGGTCCGGTGAAATGAGTGGTGGGTTTCTCCTGTCCCCAGTCCCTGTGGAGCTTGGATTGTCTGCAGGGATAATGATGTTTTCTCAGTCATTCTCAGGTCTGTATTGGCTTACCTACAACCTGCCCTTAAAATCCAGTATTTGGCAGCAATCCAGCCTGTGCCTGAGGGTCCTGCAGAAGGTGTGGATCTGCTGTTGTCCATCGTGCCCTCCTGTGAGAGCAGCTCCAAATGCCAGCTTGTGGCCCACATCACAAGTGCTCAAATCATACTTGAGGCACAAGCAGCTTTATCTTACATTTCTTGCCTGGGCATTGAAAGCTGCTCCCTTTTTTCCCCAAATAAGCCTTATTGGTGTAACAATAATTGCTACCCAAAGCTTTCCCTGGGCTGCTGTGCCTCGGCTGTGCCTCTGCCGCTGCTCACACGAGGGCACTCTGGCTTCACTCGTGGACTCACTGCTGCTGGTGTAGTTACACATGAAACAAATACTTTGGGAACGTGTTCTTTGGGCTGCAGGGGGTTTGTGTGCTGCAAACCCCACTGTGAGGGGCTCAGCTCCTCAGCAGGGGTTCAGGTGTTTAACAGGGGAAGGAAGGAGGCCAAGCCACCCCCCATGAGCACACGGTACAGAGCTGGGGCAGAGCAGGGCCCTGTCAGATATGCCCATACTCCCAGTTTATATTTTTATATATATATATATATGTAAATCTTCTTGGCTGTCTGTAAATCTTCTTTTAACATTTATTTAGAAGTACATTACAGATAGATGGACCTTACAACGAAGCGTTTTATGAGAAGCTGCTGGATCTTTCCCCGGAGGACGACGGGACGGTGGCGTTCGCGTTAACAAAGGTACCTCTGCCTATGGGGTGAGGGGCGTTCTCTCTGTCAGTGTTAATTAGCACCTGGCTCGCTCTGTCAGCGTTAATTAGCACCTGGCTCGCTGAAAGGGGTGGATAATGGATGGAGGCAGCACCACTGGCTCATCAGGATCTGGACAGTTCGAGTTGTTCCTTGTGCCAGGGTGCATCTCTATAGCAGAAGCAGTTACAGACGTGTAGCACCAGTTCTTAAGAAATAAATAAAGCTGTTTATTTGCTCTCTAGACTGGGGAAGCATTTTCATGAACTGATGCTGGTTTGGCCTTTAAGAAAACGATCTGTAGGAAATAAACACGGTTCTTGTACAGGATGCTGCAAACCCGCCTGCTCCTGCCAACCGTCTGTTACAGAGAGGATTTCCAGCTCTTACAGTGCCAACATCCCAATACAGGGAGCACTCTGGTGCCTTCTGGGAGGAACAGGATGCTTTACTACAGGCCCACAGAAACATAAAGAGAAAATGTGTGTTATTTCTCTGTTGCACAGGTGCAGCAGTACAGAATAGCCATGACTGCTAAAGACTGCTCCATCATGATTGCCCTTTCCCCCTGTCTGCAAGATGAGTGGTAAGACCTGCCTGTACCTGTTTTGGAATGGCTCCAGCTGTTTAGAAATTGGAGATGTTGTTTGCACACTTCAGTCAACTCAGTAATTAAAAGAAGTGTGGGGTTTGGGGCGTGGGGGGGTATCCAAATATTTGGCTGTGAACATATAATAGAGTTCTGATTTAAGGCATTTAGAACCCATGCCTGTTTCTGAAGAGTTTTAAGTTGATCAAAAGGGTTAAGGTTTTATATTCATGCTCTTCTTGAACTTTGAATTGACTGTTTATAGTAGCTCTACGTGGTTTTAAACAGGTGCAATTTTTCTGCCTCGGTGTCCTCATATGAGAGATTTTTCAAGCTGAGTTGCCTTTGATGGCCTAATTACAGTAAAACCAAGGCAGTAATTGAGAGGTGACATCTGTGGCTGTCAGCAGGAGGCCTTGCTGCAATATCATCCATTTTGGCTCCTGTCAGCAGTCACAGTCTGCAGGGGGGAGCTGATTTACCAGACCCTTGTATTTTTAGAGAGTGTTGTTTTGTGCGCGTGCCCTGCAGTTCCTGAGTGAAGTGCTGGTGATGGACATGGCTTGTGCAATGGCTGAGTTCAGAAATCCTCTATCCCTCAGCATGCTTGGACAGCAGTTCCCACACTGAGTGTTTTCTTTCCTTGAACCTAAGTAGGAGTTGCAGTGGCTCCTTCTGCTTTTGCCAGCTAATAAGGCTGTTGCTTTGTATGCACCACCTAGAAACAGCTTAGATTTACTAAATACAGAGGCACAGCAGTTGAGAGGGATGTCTGATGTGTGGAAGCTGAAAGGGAAACGACTGGAAGAGATCCCACCAAGTTCCCATTAGGACTGGTAAAGCTGGAGCTGCAGTTTATTTTCTTGGGCTCCCATGAAGGTTCTAAGATAAACATTAGAGTCACTTTTGCAAGGGGGACTTGGGACACATAAATTAAAAATGCTGGTTTCAGTGACTCAGATGTGCAATGTGGTTTTGTTTTCCAGCTCTGAGCAAAGATCTGTGGTACTGGCATCCAAATCCAGATTCACCTTTTCCGTCTCTGTGCTGGACCTGGACCTGAAGCCCTATGAGAGCATTCCCCACCAGTACAAACTGGATGGGGAGATAGTCAACTATTACCTGAAGAATGTACAGGCCAAAGAAGACCCTGTTATGTCCAACCTCTTCAAAGAGAATGAAGACTGCACATTAGTTCTCCACAAAGTGTAACCATTTCCTTGAGGTTATTTTTATTCAAACACATTAGAAAGTGAAAGAGTAATGGAATACAGTTATGGTGATTTTTTTTTTTTCTTTTCTGTTGTGTTCAGTGCATTTTTCAGCTGTGAATGTTTTTGCTTTATGAAATGATTTTTAATGGGTGATGCCTTCTCAGAGCCCTGGGAGAGCATTTGCTAGATAACCTTAATGAATGTATTTAATGTGACGGAACAGGTAACGTGCCATACCTTGGAACTAGAGGACAGAGCAAATTAATACAAAAAAGTCTACTTAGAATTGAAAGAGCACAGTTTTAAAGGTTTCCTGAAGTATTGCACTAACATAGAGAGCCTAATTACTAACAAGAGAATTGCCTTGGAGCCTGTGCTTTGAGCCTCACTCATCCTTCCTGGAGGAGGGAATGCTCTGGCAAATCCTGATACATTTTAGCATTAATCCACTGAAAACACAACTGTGCAGTGGCTGATCTGTGGAACTGCCCTGTCACTGCAGAACACTTAAGTACTAAATGCATGGATTAGGAACACCAGGCTGCCCCCAGAAGTTTTGTGATCATCTTGTATCTACCTAAAGCTTCTGAAATGAAGTGCAAAGGGTAAACACCTCTGAGTTTTATGTCATGGCTGGGCTTAACTCTCCTGGTTTTTATTGTCCCTACATGATATGCTGCTATTGAAGGTGAAGCCACAGCCCGCTCTCACCTAATTTAAACTGAGCTACAAGAAGAATTTATGAGTTTTACAGATCATTTCAGGTCCTTCAGATGGTGTCAGACATCGGCATTATTACACTGATGCCCCACACACTGTGCAGCACGAGCAGCTGCTTTCAGGCTCCTTCATTTTAAGAAGTGACACAGAAAAGAGGTGACAGCATCTCATTTTCTTCCCTGAAGCTGCGGTCTCATGACGAGGTGAGCTTGTGTGATTTTTGTGATGGCTTTACTTTGTAAGCAGTGCTATGTGCAGCTGACGTCTGGTGAGGGGCTGCAGTAAAGCCATCCTTGGGCAAGATCCTGAGTTGGAGAGTGGGGATATATCCAAAACTGAGGGTACTATGATGAACTCTACAGCCCCTTTCCCCTCAGGGATTGCACAGCCTGAAAGGTGCAGAGATGCTCCTCAAGCCCCAGGCTGTGACCTGTGTGCAGCCTGTGCTCAGGATTAATGTTGTCCAGAGCTGTGTGGATTAACTCCTAAAATCACATTTATGGTGGGGTCTCAGTGTAATGTTTGAATTGTTCCACTGCACCTGAAATTCAAAAGGCTGACCCAGGCCCCCCTGCACATTGGCACAACTCAAGGAGGAAATGTGAAACACAAGTGACACCATTCCCACAGGGACAGAGAGCTGGGCTGGCACTGCCAGCTGCCTTCTGGGACAGGGCCCGGAGCTGCTGTCCTGGATGGGAGGTGTGACACTGCAACAGTGCAATAACCTGGCAGCTCACAGTGGGAATAATCCCTTCTTTCCAAAGAAAACCTGGGGGGAGAGAGAGCAGCCACTTCTAAATCCAGAAACCCTCCAGCTGTTAGAAAGAGAAGGAAGGAAGGACCATCCACAGGTGGGAAGTTCCCAGGTTTTTATGCTGTAGCTTTGCACATGGTTTGCACACAATCAGAAGCGTCTCTGCTGAGCAGTTTTGTTTTCAGGTAGGAAGGAGCTAAAGATGAACTGAACTAAAGGTTACACAAAACCAGCTAAACCAGTTCCATGGCAGTGGGTAAGCAGCAATGAATTTTGCCTGTCTGCTGGACTCCAGACCTTAAATTAGCCTGGCCTTATCTCACAAGAGATTTCCTTAGAGAGTTGCTGTTCATCAGAACCCAATCTCTGGTGTGGCTCAGCTGTAAAGTCTGGCAGTTTTTCCTGACCTACCAGAACAGTGGGAGAGTGTCCCAATGATCAAACAGATGATTGTGACATTTATGGCATTATAAAGATACTGTTGCTTCAGTTCTTGATTTCTCCAGTTTCCCCACTGCTGTACGATATTTTGCCACCCCTGGGGGTGGCTCCAGCAGCTCTGGCCTTGGAAAGGAGTCTCTCAGTATCCCTTGAGAGCCAGAGTTTGTGTGTTTGGGCCCTTGGTTCAGGAGCTGTTACTCCCTCCCCAGGGAAGGACCTGACTTTGGTTTGAGGTGGATATGGTTTGGTTGGGATGGGGAGAGCAGGAACTCTGGGAAAACACACAGAGTTCCCAAACGGGCTGATGGCACATCTGAGGGAAGTGAAGGGAGAGGTGAGACATCTGTCTGATCCATTTTGTTTCTTCAGAGATGAATGTATGACACGTGAAGCTTTGGTGAGGTGTTACCTCCCAGAGTTCCCCCTGGCAGCAGCAAGTGCTGCAGTGGGCAGGAGGTCACTCAGCCACCCCTTCCCAGGAGGGGAATGGGGGCCTCTCCGGGGTAGTTTAAGCTGTCTCAACACTTCCACTGTGGAACAAAGTTACTTCAGACAGTTACACTTGGGTTTTTTACCATTGTTATGTCTTTGAAATCTTCAAATTGTCTTCTTCCACCCTAATTTAAGGAGAAAGCTGTTTAACTCTTTGTTCTAGGAGTCTCTTACTGTTCTCTTGTCATTTTTAAATCACTGTACTTTTACAGAGCTGTGAAATGAAATGGATTTTTATGGACTTGATTTTGACAGTGCATGATCTTTTAACAATTTCCAGGTATCTAGAAAATGTTAAGAAGATGATAAACCACTCTGGTACATTAATGATTCAGAAAGATAAATTTATAATGAAATCACTCTGTACATGTAACTATTTTATTTGGCATTTTTGTATTTAAATGGCTGTATTTATTTTCATGTCATGACAATTTATATATAACGTGCCATAATTGTACAGATAGCATGTTTTATGAGTATGGTTTCTAAATGGAAAATAACTTAATGTTTATATTCAATAAAATTATAGACCGTGTAACACAATATCTTAATTAAAACTACTTTGGAAATTGCTACCTGCTGTAAGTCATGCTGGCAATTCATTCAAGCACCTTGATCAGGTTCTCCAGGGCTGCCTCGATCCCAAGGAGCAGCACCATGCTCCGGAAGCGGCCAGGGACACTCTCAACTCTCGTCATCTTCTGCTCCAGCACTGCAGGAAACACGGAACAGTGGGGGTTGTTTTCCCAGAGCTGGCAGGGGGTGAAGCCCCTGCACACAGACAGGGTGTGTAAATCACACAGGAGGTGACGGTGAGGCTGCTGCTCAGGCAGGGTTTGTTTGCCTGGTTGGGTTTCCATGTTCTCTAAAGGGATGTGAAGTGACTGATGTTACCTTGCTCTGGGACTTTGGTCAGCAGGTCCAGGACTGGTGTAGTTGTCCCTTCTTCGTCCAGATGGATCTTCCAAACAACCATCAATTCAAACCTGTACCGGGAGCACAGGAAGGTCAGTCCAGGGTTAACCAGGGCCCTGCTTTTGGGGTTCCTCCAAAGCAGAAGCTGCAGCAGTTGAGAGGCTTCTGCTCTCCAGTTAAGCTCACGTCATGTAATGCAACTCACCCCTCTCTGGATTCAGGATTCAGGAGCATTTAATTAACTGAGGAAAGCCAATAATGTACTGCCAAGGAGAGGTTTTGGGTACCTCCAAGCTTTCAGCCTCAAGGATTTTTCCCCCTGGTTCTTGTCTTTGTCTCATGAATGGTTTGTTTGCACAGGGCAGTGGGGCAGAGTAAGAGAGGAAGGCAGAGCAGAGCACTGAGTGTTGCAGTGGGACAAGATCCCTGCACCATCCCAAGGGAACAGCCAGGCAGGAGGTTGGTCTGGAACAGCGTCAGAGCAGATCTCCTGCTTTGTAACAGCCCTTCTTTACTGCATCTTTATTCCCCTCCAAGCCTAGAATTCCTTACTGAAGGTAAGGCTTTCCTGATCCAAAGCTGATCTGCACAGCAGGTCACTGTGAGGAGGAAGCTCCCCTTTCTCGATGATGTTTGACCCATAACAACTGTAAAAATTCCCTTTGTCAGCCTTTTGCCCCTTGATTGTTACAAATCCTTTGGGAATTTGTGCACAGCTTGTCCTGGAATTTTGCAAACAAATTTTTATGCCACTGAAATGACTTGGAAATTCTTGTGTTTCAGGACTGTGGATCAGGGGGAATGTGTGCAATGGAACTGGCACCTGGTGACACAGAAACTGTTGAACAAAGCAGGTAATTCCCTAACCCTGATGGTCTAAGAACAATTCATTCCAACAAGCCACAGTTCAAGCATTTAGTTTTAAATGGCAGGTTTGGCTGTACCAAGACAGCACCATCTCTCAGGGTTTATTTGCTAGTTCATAAATGCCACAGAGGGAGCTGTGCTCAAATTCCAGTTGTTTGCATATAAATTAAAGCACGTTATAGCAGGATGTAAGAGGAGAAGGGAATGGTCTGATCCCTTCACAAAACAGTTATTTTTCTTGGCCCTGACAGTGATAATTATATTGTCTTACATGTGACTTCAAGGGGTTTTTTTCCCTATTGAAAACCCCAAACCTGGTGGAACACATCCCACAGGGAGCCCAAACAAATCCCACAAGCCTGGTAGAGTAGTAATTCCCTCATCTAATGGATTTCCATCTAAAACAATGGAAAAGTATAGCCACAGTGACATGGTAACTGCCATTTTCTTTCCATTCTTTAATGGCAAGACACCAAGGAACTGGGATTTACTGGGATGTGACTGGGATCCCTGCACCTCCTGTGCAGACCCTGGGCTGTATCAGTCAAGAGATGCATTTATTGGCTTACCCAGAGACTTTGGGGTTCCTCAGAATTATAAAATCTCCCTGCAGTCCTTCTGGAAGGGTCACGACCTCAGGATACTTGGCCTGTGAATAAAAAGGCTCAAATTGGGTCACAAAGATCACAGCACACGAGGTGGTTTCCAGCCAGTGCTCCCCAGTCCCAGTGGATTTCATGAGCTTGTGTGATGATTAACAGTAATAGTTAAGAGTAACAACACTCACTGTTTAAATTCTGACCTGTTTTTTTTTTTCTTTGGAGCTCCTTGTGCAAGACCCAGGAAACCTTGAACACATTTTTTTTTTTAAACTAAGTTCTGTTAATTTGATTGAATAAGACATTATAATACATCCCCATTTCACCCCCTCCCCTCTGTGAGGGAAGGAACCCGACTGGAACCCTCTGGCTGGAGGTTCCTTTTGAAAGGGTCACCAAGCTCCACAGAGGCCTTGGGAAGCACAAAGTAATAAAGGCAATGAGATACCAAAATAACCACAGTTCCCAAAATATGGGATAATGGAAACGTGACTTCCATGTCGCTGGGAATTATTTCCAGCTACTACAGCATGCAAAGGTTGATTGTTGCTCCATTCCTTTGTCAGTGCCTCTGATATTTGTCAGTGTTCAGTGTGCGTATCTTGAATTACTCAGGACTCAGAACTTTTGCTAGAACTGGTTTAAAAGCACGTAAAAGAAGAGCAGGCTTGTAGCTCCCCATGGATTCTGTAGGGGACAGGTTACTCAGAGTACGAGGGGATGCACAGACACCAAACACTGAGGAACAACACAGCATCCTGCAGGGAATGCGCTGCTGGAAAAGGAATCAGGAGGGAGCTGGAGCCTGCTCGTCCTGCCTCACGCCCTGCACACAGAGCTGGGCTCCAGAACTCGCAGTTTATAAAGTGTGAAAAGTCTCTCAGCCCCAGTCATCCCACAGGGCTCCCGGGGCAGGTCTGTAGGAAAAGGAGCAGGAGAGGCGGTCGTGGAGCGGCGCTGGAGAGAATGAGTCCGGTTTTCTGGGATTGCGCCTCATCTGGCAGAGGGAAATCGCTCCCAGATGTGACCTTGCTCTGGGTTAGGAATTTATGACAGGCTGGAGGAGGGCTGTGCACCCTGTGCCAAATGACATAAAACACATGGAATTTGCCAGTTTTAATTTCTGCCCAGCATCCAGTACTGTATTTACTGTGGGATAACAAACCAGGATTTATCCTGGGAACAAGGACACAGAAGGGACGATGTGGAGTGGGACAGTGACACTGTGAAAGTGGCTGATCAAGGGTCACTCGCCCAGCAGAGCAGGGATCCTCTTCCAGCTTTACTCCCTGGGGAATTATGCCCCTCTGATAACAACATCAACCAAGTTTTCCAGGCTTTCCCTCTCAATCACCCATGTCTGATGTCCATTACAAGCCCTCATTTGCCTGGGAGCATCTGCTGATCTCTGTAGCTCCAGGCTGCCAATACTAGAAATGCAGGATTAGCTTCTCTCTGGAACTCAGCTCTTGTGTTCCTCATTTACAGGAGATCCCAAATATCCATAGCTAAGAACTGAGTCACGTTTCACCTTCATCTGCCCAACCCGAGCCCTTTGGGAATCACCAGGGAAAACAGATCATAGGAGCGAGATAAGAGTTACAATCCCAAACACTGTGAAACGCTCCCAGGGTTTTATTTTTGGGAGTTCCTGTGTAGCTGCCATGACCTGGTGGGTGGTATTTATGTCACATGGAAAACAGGCAACTTCAGGAGATCCCTGTGTGTGATTTTCTGTGGCAAAGCTCCCCTGTACCTGGGAGAGGTGAGCTCTGCACACAGAGGGTGGTTTTTCGGTGCCTTCTGTAAACACCATCAACCCCAGCGCCGGGAGAATCTGATCCTGTGTGAAACCCACAGGATTTGGGATAAAATCCAGCCTTTTTAGTGGGAAAGGTCATATTTTAGCAATCCACAAAACACACAGAAAGCCAAACCACAAATACCTACATCTCTCCTCACTAAAACCTGAGCCCTGACAGCTGCTCCAGGCCTGGATCCTGTGAGGATCCCAGCTCTGTTCCCACCTCAGGACAGCCCCTGACAGCGACCACCCCATGGGAGCAGGAAGCAAAGCACCCAGGATTAAGCAGCAACCTTAAACACAGGCAATTTGGGGAATAAACCCCGGGAAATGCAGCCACACAATCTGCCTTTTATTTTCCACAGGTAGAACGTGATGTCCGAATCCCACAGGTAAAATGTGGGGATCTGGGATGTAACAAACACCAGGCACACAGTGAGCAAAGGCAGAGCTGCAATTCCAAACACTTCTGGGTTCCACATCATCACCTCATCTTCTCTGCTGAGCAACCTCCCCGAGTTTTCTCTGGGGGAAAAGAAAAGCAGAGCAATGACCTGAGTAACAGAGCAAGTTGATCCACTGGAAAGTCTCTTGGGAAAGTCAGGAACTCCGGTGGGATCTTGTGAACTGGACCCCAGGCAAGGGAGAGAGATCCCATCAAATACACGATACCAGATGGGAGAGATCAGCTACGACTGCATTAAGCAAAACCTGCCTTTAATCAAGGAACATCTTTCCTCAGATGACTTTTAAATGTCTGTTGATGATCAAAACCAACAGCCCAGGCTATTATTGCTTCTACCGGAAATCGTTTTTCCAGCTCCTGCAGGAGTCCAAGAGTCCAAGCAGGGAATGGGATGGGAACTTTTGTCTCCCACAGGAATAGTCCCAAATCACAGAGGGTGGTGGAAGGCTCACCCTGCCTGTGCTCCCGTGACAGATTTTACACCCAGGCAGAGCCACCCCAGGCACTGCTCTTGCAGGGGCTGCTTTTAACCAAAATACATTATTATTCCCCAGCTGTTTAGAGCTGCACTGCAGTTTTCTGCACACTAAACCTCTGCAAAGGGAAAACAACCTGAGTTACTCAGGTTAAGAGCCATGGCTCTGAAGGCAAAGCAAAACTGGCAAGGCAGAGGCTGCAATAAAAGCAGATGAATTTGCTTCTGACCCACTTAAGGAAGAAAACACACAACCCTGCTCCCAGCTGGAACAACAGCTCACTTTACTGCTGCTTCTGAGCTTGGTGTTCTGTAAGGAGGATGTATAGGAACAGTTGTGTCACCACAAGCCCCTCTATAGGTACAAGCTCCTTCTCAATTTACCAACTCCCTGTGGGCTCTGATTTGGGTGATTTGTGTGTGGGGTTTGCTCAGCTAAGGCCACATTTTATCACCCACCAAAGTCACACACAGTGGGAGCATCAAGATCTTAATACCAAACCTGTCATAACAGCAGTAATTCAAATACTAATTATGTGTGAAAATTACGAGAATTCTATGTATGCAGAATACCAGCAATGACCTGATTAAATTCCCAAAGCATCAACCAATCACCCCCAGTGCCACCGTGTTGCTCCCACTGCAGCTCAGTCACTCCAGGACCATCCCATGGGACACATCCCCAGGGGCTCCTGGCCTGAATTCAGACCCTGTTCTCCAACAGGCTCATTCCCTGGATTTAGGAACAGGCTGATTTCAACTCATCTCACTCAGATAACAACAAAAGGAACAATTTTACCATCACCATGATCAAGCCCTACAGCCACTTCAAAGCAGCAACCACCAAGCTGCCAAATGAAAATAAGTGCAGCAATTACCTTTTTGGAAATTAATTTGTATTTCTTCTTTTAGTAAGCCTTGTGTGAGCCCAGATAACTCCAGGTCCCTCTGGGGGATCTGATCTTACAATTTATCTGTCCTTGACGCACTTTGCTGAAATCTCTGGTGCGAACTTTACCAACAGCTCTCATCCTCGAGTCACAAACTGTGTTAATTTGTAATTAACTGAACCTCACACGTACATTTGCAAACCATTATCTTCCTAGAAAGGTCATTTCAGTGCCTTGGATGAGTTTTAGCTTAAGATTGGACAAGACATTTGTTAATGCATTTGTTGATTACAATGTTTTATCCTCCGAGGTAGCTGCCACCAGCATGAAAACACAAGCAGGATTTATACCTTCCTGTATTTTTAAAGCATTTTTAGTGGCAAGCCCTAAGCCAATGGATAATTTCTCCAAGAAATTTAACTTTTTTTTTTTTTTTTTTTTTTGGTACCGACAAGCACCTCAGACTTTGACAGAGGAGAATCCAGTGTAACCCACAAACGATCACAAAAGCATCCTGGATTTTGTTTTCCTTTCTCCCCACTGCCTGACTGGGCAAGAGCAGCACTGCAGGAACTGAGGGACAGGCAGAAACTGAATACAAGGCTCAGAGAAAAGAGGAAGATGTAGAAGGTAGTCGTGGTTTTGGCAAGGTTTTTGTCTCAGAGTTGTGTTTCTCAAGACTTGTTCTGAAGGGAAAATCAACAGGAAAAGTCTGGAATTGTTAGAATACACAAGGAGAGGAGGATCCCGTTGCCCACAGCTGCTGCAGGTTTGTCACCTGCTGGAGCTGCTGTTCTTTGAGTAGAAGATTTGCAGATTTTTCCTAGAAAACTGTAAACATTACCAGTGTCATTAAACACTATCCTCAAGGCCTGAAGGGTCTGAACTTTGCCCGTGGAAATCACCACATCACAACAGTCAGGAAAAGACTTCCAGTCTGATGGACTGGAATTCCCAAGTCAGAAAGGCAAAAAGCCAGCAAAGGGGAAATTTAATGTGCCTTATGTCAGATTAGACTTCACCTCGAGTTTCATTTAAAGGAGATTTAAAAAAGAATCTAAAGAAAGGAACACAGTAATTATGGTGGAAATGTGTGAGCCCAGTCAGTAAATCCACACTGTGCCTCCTCAGGGATTTGTTCAGCATCCACCCAGCAGAAAACACCAAGCAGGAGGGACCCAGATGTTCAGTTTACTCAGCTGATCCCAGAGTTATCAACACAATGTCCATTATGGGCAAAGCAAGCTCCCTCCACTGCTTTAGATCTGGCCAAATAAACACACCCCAGCCCATTAAACAACTACCCAACACTGACATAAATTGTTAAACGACTGTTAAACCGACCAGATTTGGCTCCCAAGATTTACTCCTGGATGTGCAAACTGATGCAAATGTAAAATGGATTAATTCCCTCC